TAGGGAAAGCTTCCTAAATGGAAATCCCACTTGAAATATTTCAAAGGAAAATTACTGACAGGAGCCGAGATGTTTAGGTGTAAATTACCTCCACGATCTGAGGCATGTTTTTCAGCACTATGGATTCACTGTCAGAAGTGTCGCGTCCACCCTGAGAAAAAAAGAGTACAGGACCACCAACAGGCGAGCAAGTTTCAAGACGAAAAATGGTGCCCCAAATTCCTGAACCACATGAGGGCAACATCATTAATCACAATAAAAGGACGTGGTATTTGACAGCACCATGAAGCTGTCATTAGTGTATATTAGCTGTCATTCTGATCAATAGGGTGGGGAGAAGGAGAAATTTTTGAATCTTCTGTTGAGTACAACATGTTTGTATGCTTCAAATACCTTTGTAACAACTGCTGATCTATGAAAATGCTGATCAGACTACCCAAGAGAAGTACATACAATATTTCTAGGGCCATGAGTTATATCCATTTCTAAATCTTTTGACTCAAATAGATTTCACTGAAGACAGTGACAATATTTCTGGTACTAGCCTAGTTTAATCAACATGAAATTAGCAACCTAGGACAGACACCCTGATGAAAGGCAGACAAAAATGATACGAATCACCACAATGCACTGTAATACCTGCTGTATGCAGAAGTCCAACAGCTTTCAGAAAATGCACACATTTATTAAAGAAAAAACTCTAGACACATTGTACTAGTTTTACAGAAGCAACTTGCTCTGAAGAATTAAGGAGATGCCATTTCTGTACAGTCATTATTAAGGCTGCATCATCAATCTTTCCATAGTTTCACCGATTGGTTAATGGTAAAAAGGTAAAAAATGGGATTTCCCTTAGCAGAGAACACGCTCACTCTTCCTCCCCCAAGCCTCTGCATCTCTTGCTATTTCATATTTCATGACGTGAGCTTTCTGAACTGATTGAACCATTTTTTATCTTCTGCTACAGTTCTTCAAGATATGTTGGTTTCTATGAACTTGTGCCCCCAGAATTGACAAGAGTTTAACAAAAATTTACTGTTTCTTCTCACATCCTTTGTGTATCTGTATCTACCCAAAATTGAAGGTGCCACATTGCGTGTATCTTGATACCCTGGAAGAGTTTCTGAACAAGAGCAGGTTTTTGTTTGTGTTTTAAGAACTGGCAGAAGATGTTGGGTTTTTTGTGTTTTTGATTCAAGTTCTGCTTAGAGCAGAAGCTAGTCAGCAAGGCAGAAATATATCTTAGAAGAGAAAGAAACTCAGCAGATGAATTGGCATTTTTTAGAAAACAAAGAAATAGGTGGAACAGTAAGTAAAGAGATTATTTTCAAAAGGTAAGTTATGTAATAGGTTTATGAATTATATTTATGAGGGACTTTCATATGTAAATTCCTTAGTGCTTTAAGAAATAATTTGAAAAAGGAATTAAAAGGAAACGTGATGCATTTGTGCAACATGTTTGAAAAATGAAAGGCCCATATAGATAACTATATTAGGTGGTGCTTAACCTATCCTAGCTGCATGGTCTGGAGTGAGAAAGCTATCTTCCAGCATTGTCTTATAGTATTCAAAATAGCAGATAAGAGAATAATAGGAAAAAATACCTTGACAACTCTATATTATTAGCCAATACTTCTGCACGCACTCTGTTATGAGAGATAACCTCTATAAAGAAGTATATTTTTATGGTCTTTACCTACTGTTGATTTGCCTTTGTCACAGAGTGTGAGTTTCTATGCTTATACCTATGCCGAAACTTTGCAGCTGCTCTTGAAAACACCTAAAAGTAATTCTAGTTCTTTTCTCTAATGGTCTATGTAAAAGGCATACATCTGGCTGCATTTGTGAAATGTTTGTTCACTTTGAGCATGTTAATACATCCAAAGGTAGGAAACTCGGTCCAAAATGGACTAACAGTTACTGCAATAAAATTTGGTACAGCATGAAGTCAAGCACACTTGGAGTACCTTCCCTGAGCAACAAGAAACTCATGAAAAATGGTAACAACAGTGTGTGTTTAACTGTAATCGTTAACTCAAATTATTTCAGGCCAGAATTTGCTTCCATTTACTTTAGTTCAAAGTCAGTAAAAAAACCTCCATATGGAAAACAGAGTTGTGTAGATGAAATTATGTTCTTAAGCTATCATTGCACAAGACTGAAAAAAACCTCCAGACTAGAAAACCTTCTAAAATTATATTACATCCTATATTTGTAACAAGCAATTATAAAAATGCATAGTAATGAAAAGAGGAAAAAAAAGTCTTTTGTGTAGTTATAAAAGTGTGGGTGCTTCTATTAGTCCATATTGAAATCAAAACATGTTTATAAGAATTTTTAGTCCACACAATGACAGCCTAACATTTGGTTACAGTTTTCTCACCTACCTTATAATACATTCTGCACATATTGTATAGAAAAACAGAAAAGAAAAAAAAAAGGATATTAAACTATAGAACTGCAAGATAAAATATGAAGGAACTGTGGAATATGACATTATAAAGTTGTAGCCATTCACTGTCCCTTAACTGTGGATAGGTATTTCTGTACTACAATACTACAGAATCTCACATGATATTGGAGTTTATTCTGAGTTACATGACAATAAATGAGTTAATTTGATTTT